GGCTAGTTTTTAATTTTCTTTGCTTTCCCTGAGTTTTCTGATTTTTGGGGAGCTAAGTTATTTTATCTCCCTTTGYATTCMTTTCCMTCTATTCTCTTAATTTAATGAAATTGATGTTATTGATAAAAAATAAAAAGCATTAGTCTCTTGTATGTCTCATGCACATATTATAAAAAGAAAGGAAAGGAAAAGAAAAGAAGGGAAGGGAAGGGTCCTTTCTCCATTCTGGCTCGTGCATCTTCATTCTTCTTCTTCTTGTTGTTGAGGAGGCTTATGCCTCTTGCATTCTGAATTACACCTTACACCTCCAAGTACTTGAACGCCTTATGTTACGGCTCTATGTTTTAAAACATTGATCCTTGTTTTTTTAATCTTTAAAAAGAGGATGGGGTTTTGTTAATATACAAAAACAATAGAAGTGCAATCATGTAGACACCAAAAGGCAAATAAGACAAAAGAAAAGCCCAAACTTCTCAAAAAAGAAGAAAGCATCCATAGTACAAGATAAAAAGAAAACCTACCAGGGAGGGAATATCTCCATGTTCAGCTATCTTCATTCCACCTCTAGGCTGGTTATCTGCTAAAGAATTAGCTGACCACTGTATTGATTGGAATAAATATTGATTCTAGATGCTAGTGTTTTCTTGAATCATCATATCATCCATGCCTTATCCCAACTATATTGGGTTGGTTACATGAATATTGTTTCACCAATTGGTTCTTGTTGAAACCATATCCACTGTTAAATTATTAGTGCTTAAATCATTTCTTACTACTACCCATGTCTTTTTTCGTCTACCCTGAGCTCTTTTAGCTCCTTCAATGTGTAACGAATCACTTCTTCTGATTGGTGCAATTGGTGGTCTTCTATGTACATTCCCGAACCATTTTAGGCTGCATTTGGCATTCCTTACTTTAATGACTTATATCCATTTTGCAGTTAAAAACTCAGTGTTTAAAGGGAGCATTTTAACTGCAAAAAGATAACTCAGTGTTAACATTTTACACTGTTTCTGTCCGGGCCCATTCAAATTTTGACAAAATCCCAACCCATTCAAATTTTGCACCCCTCAAAAGAATTTCAAGGTGGTAATTATGTCCGTTAGGCGGGTAATAACACTGCTACTCTACGTGTCTGAAATATTGTTGCCAACTTATATGTAATACTCTATCTTGTATACCACAAAGCACTGATAGATTTCGTTGAGGAATATGTCAATTCCAGTAACATTTCATGTTGGTACCCATGGAAATGTTAGGAAATATATGGACATTTTAAACCATGTCTGTAGTTGTAGCTTAAAATCTAGAAACTTAGGTGCCCTATGATCTGAAAACCAGTGTATGTATTATCACATGAGCACACCTATACAGCCATGTGGACGTGTCGATCAACTCGAACAAATAAAGGCTTGGTTCTATGACCAAGGAGAAAAGAGTTTCTGCTATGCAAATCAGTTCTGAAAAGTAGGATTGTCATGTGGTAAAAAGAGAGAGAGATCTATGGAAGATCAAGCAGCCAGATACCATGTAATCTGCTACAGAGTAGAGTTAAAGCAAAAGGAATAAGAGAGAAACAGGTTGGAGAACCTAGAGAAATAGGGGACGGCACCCCACAATATTAAATAGGGTGAAACCTAAAATATAGTACACAGACTAAAAATCCCTGCAGCAAGAATAAGATAAATTAACAGCTAATAATCACTGCAAATTCTTTACATTCCTTTTCTCATTGCCATGACTTGGGGTGATACAGGTGGTAGCTGGTGGTGGTGCAGTTGAGGCTGCTTTATCTGTCTACTTGGAGCATCTTGCAACAACTTTGGGATCCCGAGAACAGCTGGCAATTGCAGAATTTGCTGAATCCCTTTTAATTGTGCCAAAGGTCATCTTTTGAATTGAGTTCATTAAATTTCACAATTTATTTCTGTACGTCCTCTTGAGATAAGTTATTTTGATCTCTCGATTCTCAAATTGGTGATGTCTGCATTGGCTATAGGTTCTTGCTGTAAATGCTGCAAAAGATGCAACAGAATTGGTTGCAAAGCTTCGGGCGTACCACCACACTGCACAAACAAAAGCTGATAAGCAGCACCTATCAAGGTATTTGTCTCTTGGCCACTTTATAACTCTGTTTAAGGAGAATTTATGTATTAAAAAAAACAATAGAAAGAATCAAGAAGATAGCATTAGACATGTCCATGTGTCTTATGTACTTATCCTGATTCCTGTAAATACAAAATCTACAACTTTTGCACAAAAATTCCCGCCATTAATCACATATTTCCTTAATTTTTTCAAATTAGCTTACATTTCATCATTTAGGTGGTAGGATTCTCAAATTACTAATTAGTGTTTCTTCAGGGCTGTGCTCTGCCCAATTTATTGTATAAGTTGTTTTTGTGATCTGGAGAAGATGCACAGGTTGATACGTCACAAGGTCCATCAATCCAGTTTATAGTACCATCCCATACCTAATTTTTCTTAGTATGGTTTGCAAAGAATGCGAGTAGTTTTCATGTCTGTTTGTTGCCTAAATGCTTTTTGTAAAATGTAGAGCTTTGAGTTTTTTATCCTTTCCCTACCTCCTATTTGAAGTGTGCAAAGTGACACTTTTCTTTTTTAATTGTAGCAGAAAATTTCTGAGATAACAATAGGCTTCAGCCACTTTAGCAAGCAAATAAAGAAGAGAAAATAGAAGATGAAGCTAGAGTAACTTCTACTATAGCTACTGGCTATGGTAGAAACAGAAGGAGAATTCTTTATTTAGCACCTAGTTGGGAATAAACAACAAAATGGAATAGGTTGTTCTCAACACCTGTTGACACTCTTTAATAGACTAAATTAACAACTTTTAATTTCCTACTTAGACTATTGCTTGTATTCAAACCAGGATACTATAACTCTCTAGTTCTACTGTATATAAGAAATTGGAAATTACTAAAACTAGTAAATTGTCTATTACTATAAATAGTAACCGCAAAACATTTTATAAATGGAAATAACAGGAATTACTATAAACACCAGTGGATTCCATTGGTCAGCATGTTGACTAGGATTTTGACCTTGACATGCAGATTCTAAAATCACTCAACTCGAACTTTCCCATTACAGTTTTTATTACTATCAAGTTTACTTTTATGCTGCCAAATTTCAGCAAAAACGACCAAGATTTGACTAGTCAGAAGACAGTTGCTTCTTTCTTATTTGACAACACTACCAGTGATTTAAAAGGCATGCCTAGATGCACAGGAGAGGCACATTTTAGGGTAGGCACCTTGCCCAGATCCTAGGCGTACCAGGCGTGTGCCTTTTGAAAATTTTACGCTTTTTTTCTTTTTTTGGACCTAGAGGTGCTCCGAGAACCCCCGATTTGCTAATGTTGTTCATTCATTCATCTTAATAAAATATCTTCTTAAAAGGCAATTAAAATTATATAATCATTATTTTTATGTGAAAATTAAGAATTTAAGGTCCTAACATGGACTTGTTTGGGCTTGCCTCAGGGGGTGTGGTACAAAGGCGGCTCGTAGAATCAGGATTGTAATATGTTTGACATCACATTAGCTACTTGAACTAATGCAGTTGAGGAAAAAAAGAGATTGTGGGTTTTACATGCTTGAAAATGTTTTATATGTATGATTTTATTTTTAAATTTTCATTGGAGTACACTTTACATGTTATGATTATGTATTTTAATTTTAGATAATAGGCTATGCTTATGTACTTCAATTTTATTTTTAATCATAACATGTTATGATTATGTATTTTAATTAAAACACATAAGCACAAGTGATTTTTTAGCTTTTTTTTTTGTATTTTTGCGCCTTGCTTCAAAAAGACACACGCCTCGCCTTGCGCCTCGGGCGCAAATTGGCCCTTGTGCTTTTAAAACACTGTGCATTATGCAGGTCTGCCATCTGGCCCCTTTAATTATCTTTGGGACTTGCTGAAAACCTTCTTGTAACCACTTGTATACTAATCCAGGGTTATTTTGGTAGCAGTATCTGTTTTTGAAATTAACATTGTTTTGGATTGGATCTATGAGAAACAGCTTTTATGGTCTAATTTAACCCTATTTTAGATATACTAATATGAACTTCTCATTAAAAATATATGTGAAAATAAGAAGCAATCTTGCCATATCTTGTATATATTTTAGGTAAGCAATCATATTTCCTACTATTTTTCGTCACCTTTGTGTTGAAAATTTACATCTTGATTCTTTGTTCTTTTACAATATTGTAGTATGGGGCTTGACCTCTTGAAGGGAACCATCCGCAACAACTTAGAAGCTGGGGTTATTGAACCCGCAATGAGCAAAGTGAAGATATTACAGGTAAAGGCAGTGAGTGACTTGTAGCTATATCAGTTTTTTTTTTGGGTAGACGAAGTGATATCAGTTCTTCTCTGACAGTTTGTAACTGAATTTGTTTCCTGAATTCTTTTGCTTCTAGTTTGCAACTGAAGCTGCCATCACAATTTTGCGTATAGACGACATGATCAAGCTTGTTAAAGATGAAAATGAGAATGCAGATGAGTAGTAAGTAGTAGGATTTGAACATTGGATTAGTGACAATTTTGGTGTACGTGCACGTATTCCTGTGGAGTGAGTATTAGGATTTGAACATTGGATCTCTTTCTCTCTCATTTATACATGGGAAAGTCTATGATGTCAGAAAGACATGATACCATAAAGGCTTCAACCAATCAAACATCTCCAAGCAGGGAGAGAGGCAAGTGTATTGGTGGGGTCCCCCCCAAAAAAATATTAAAAAAGAAAAGAAAATTTCTTGACTCCACCACTGTCCCCAACCAAGCATGCAAGATGTTCCCAATGCATGCTGAAATGTGCTGTGGGGCATTGTGGGGTGCGCTCTATGGGGAGCCCAAGGTATCAAAGAATGGGCACCAACCAAGTAGGGTGAATGCGAGTTCCACTTACCCATAAAGAACCTTCAGTTACATGAGTTTGATTCTATGCTTATATTTAGAAATTTTCCATATGACCCTCTCAGCTACTGGGTCATCACCTACACTTAGTATAAATGTAGGGGGGTGCAAGTGTGCTGAGTGTGAATTCTGGCTTACTTTTGCTTCAGGTTCAATATTGGCTTGTTTGTTTGCAATAAATAAAATGGTGTATCTCTCACTTTATATGAAAGAGAATGGATGCGGTATAAGTTTACTTATTTGGAGGAATAAGGTAAGAAGTAAAATGATGTGATTCCCACTTTTTATATGAGAGAAAAATCAAGATAGGATGAAGGGGTCCAAATTTTGCATCATTTTTTTTGTTCAATTTGGAAAGAGTACAAATACAAATATGTACAGTACAAATACATATAAAATAATACAAAATATAAGGTTTTGCACTCTACATATTTGTATTTGTACTCCTTTCAAATTGAGCCTTATAGGCTGTTTTTGGTTGTAGTGCAAATTTATTTGCACTAGTACAAATGTATTGGGAGTGCAAATTCTTATTTAATTTTGTTTTGGATTTTACTTTATCCTACTTCATGTTTTAATTTACTCCATTTTTACTGCAATAAAACAAAATAAGCTAAAATTTGAAAGAAAAAATAGGTCAGAATTTACACTCAAATCATTTGTGCTGCCATGGTTTTGCATCAGTGCAAATTTATTTGTATTGCAACAAAAAACAACCTTAGGCTTAGTTTGAAAGGAGTACAAATACAAATTTGTAGAGTGCAAAACCTTGTATTTTATATTATTTTGTATATATTTGTGCATTACATATTTGTACTTGTACTCCTTCCAAACTGAGCCTTAGATACAAAATTTGCACTCACAATAAATATAAATGAGATAAAGTGCAAATTTTACATCACATAGGAATGCACATCATAATAACAAAAAGTGTAAATTCCCAATTAGTACCTTGTACTTTAGGTCTAGTGCCACTTCGGTTCCCAAACTTTAAAATGCGATAATTCAGTACCTAAAATTTCAAAACGTGCCAATTTAGAGGGTGTTTGGTTCTGTTTACGTTTATGGGTGGTCGTTTATTTGTGCTTTTTCACTTTAAACATTTATTTATACTTTTTTACTTTAAACGTTTCTTGAAATGCTGGGACATTGGGGGAAACAAGAATTTGGTGTTTCTCCAAATGCCCCATGCACAAAAATCAAAACGTTGAAACCAAAGAGTTGTTTCATTTTGCTTCATATGCAATAAACGCCAATACCTATGTAGCGCTGATGTGGCAACAACCAACGGAACCAAACACATACTTAGTATCTATCATTAATCAGCCGTCAGTTATATGACATCATTTGTGACTTAAAACTTTTGATAATGTCAATATTACCCTTAGAAATAAAATAATGCTCATCGTCTTCTTCTTCGAGAAGATGAAACAGATGTAATCCATTTGATTTCCTGCCGAAGTTCTTTCCAGAATGCATTTCAAATCCTCAGACGTGTTCTTCGTAGTTGATGAAGGGAAATTTGGCCCGACCTCGCGATCGCCCGACACGTGGCAAAGGCAAGCAGCTCGGGACAGTAGAGTGCCCAAAGCGAACATCGGAAGCAAGTCCAAGCTCACTACCGAGCCCGAACTCCAGACCGCTGTACTTAGTCCGAGCTCCTTGTTAAGAGCGAGCTCCCTCTTAAAGGTCCGAGCTCCCTAAGTAAGAACCCGAGCTCCCTAAGTCCGAGCTCCCTACTAGGAGCCCGAGCTCCCTGTTAAAGGTCCGAGCTCCCTAAGTAAGAACCCGAGCTCCCTAAGTCCGAGCTCCCTACTAGGAGCCCGAGCTCCCTGTTAAGAGCGAGCTCCCTGTTAAGGGTCCAAGCTCCCCAAGTAAGAGCCTGAGCTCCCTGTTAAGGGTCCGAGCTCCCTA